CACGGCATCCAAGGGAGTCGAGGAGCTGGAAGAACCACCATAAAGATAGACGGGCAGGCAAAGAGACGGCCCTGAAAACTGATGGTAAGTAGTTACGCAGTCTGTTAGACACTAGTATACGAGCATGTACAATTCGCGCAGCTTCTAACAGGGGCATCAGAATATACTGCATCAAATCGCGGTAACAGAGGTGAAAAAACAAAACGGTAAAACAGAGAAGGGGTCGAACCGGCATTTCTGAAGCGCGGGCATCAATTTTCTCGAGGTAAGAGGAGGCAATGCTAGCCACTATTGCCTCCATTTCAGTGCAGAGAACATCGGTGCAATCCAACAGCACAGACTCCGCCTCCAGCATTAAGAACTCGGCCAGGTGGAAGCGCGAATGCGAGGGTTCAGCGCGAAACGTAGGGCTCAGAGTGTAGACCTGGCGAGACAAAAGAGACAAAATGCGTTAAAATGCAAAATAAAACGCGGCGGCGGCAGCGGCAGCAGTAAAAAGCATGACACTGACAAATAAATTAGGCCACATGGTAGTACGGCTGACGTCATGCTTGCGGAGAAGGTTGTAGAAACGCCTGCCTGCATAGTTAACTACCGACTACATTGGATTTATGACACAATCACTTGTGGCGTGTAAATTGTGACAGTTCAACCCTTGCAAGGCACACCATTTACCGCAGCACTGTTGCCTTGAAGTAGTTTGCAGTGAGGCGTCGGATATACCGCACTCTTTCATCCCTCAACCATCTTGCACCGATGGGAAATCAATGTAGAGACGACCGGGGATGGGCTCGAGTGCAGTGACTGGGCAGAGCTAAACAGCACGTCACACCTACAGCGCACGATCTGGTTTCATCTACGCGTGTGTGTGTGTGTAGGTTCGACCATCGATTTCGATGAAGTTCACCATGTGCACCAACAGGTTGGCGCAGCCCAGGTGACTGGCCTCAAGGGGTAGATTATAGTAATAGAAGATGTAATTGGCGCCAACCGCAGTCTTCACCTTTATCAAAGGTCAAGAAGACCAAACGGGACGCGGCATTGGCCACTTTCTCTAATGTGAGCCAGAAACGCCGCCTAATTTAGTCTTAAGTGAAAATAGACTTTGTGTGGGTACTACCACACTACCTACCCTCACTCACCCTCAGTAGGTGTCAAGACAGGTTCAAGAAGGCCGAGACTTATACGTCTACTAATATTTCTACTACTACTGACTCGCAATATAGCTGGGTCTTAGTAGTATGGACACAATTTCTAAAGCTAATATTAGTCAGAGGTGACGCTGATTTAAAATCAACTCTGGGACTCATACCCTCTGGATCTCAACAAGGAGTGTGACATCTGGGTTTATGCTATTTCGAGTAAATATATGTTTGAGGCCCTGA